AACTAAAAAGTGTTACCAGCCTCTACTTTGATATAGGTAAAGTTACTAGAAATATTTTGCAGTACATAGAACTGAACTATCTATTGGGAATTATTTGTACTGAGGCCAAATAATTTTATTACAGATGTTTTATGTAATGTTTAACGACTACAAAATTATGTACTTAACTCTCATAGTGTTCCACAAAAATGATACTAGGATGACTACAATAGAGATAGCATCAAGGAAATCGCAGATACAAATGTTCTGTATTTAATAAACCAGGAATATTTAGAAAACCTTTGGCTAACAGGATTCCAGGGAGTTTGGGCTACCGAGCCTGATTACTTCATTCATTCATTCATACATCAAGTTTTCTCAGAGAAATTTCACACATTCAGTGATCTCTTGGATAGAAGGATCTGCTTCACTCAGTAAGGGCCAATATATTAGCCGCACAATCTGCCTGGTAGACGCTAATATCTGTATCATGGCAGAACTGGATGTTGTTATTGATAAACTATCTTTGCTAGCTGGACATCTGTTCTAGCCATTAGTAATCTCAATTATGGCAGTTACAAAACCTTCTCTGACAGCTTATTCTATTGTTTAAATATTCTTTCAGCAGTAAATCTGTTGTCCTAATATTTAGTCTACGTTTTTCCTGCTGAAGCTTGAGGCAATTATTTCTTGTTCTGTCTTCCTTGACGATGAAGTATAATTAATCTTTCTTCTTTATAGCATACTTTTATGCTTCTGCAGTCTTTACCAAGTAGTGTTATATAATTCATTCATATTATTTATTTATTTCTCTAGATTCAACACATAGTTATTAAATAAACAACTGTTTAGAGTCAGTGACACAAGGTAGTCTGTTTGCAGGCTAATTATTTATCTTCTAAATGCATTCCTCTAAGACATCAGGATGTAATAACACTATTTAGGGAAATTAGTGTCCATAAAAGCAATTGCTAGTATTTTGAAGAAGAGAGACTTAATACACATCTTCCTTTCATAATTCTGGATGATGAAGTTTCTAGAATTTCAGTTAGCCTGCATAATAGTCTTTATTCCTATGGAATACTTCAAACAGGACCTGATGTATAATCCAGTATATTGGCACTGCTTTTGTAATCTGTATGCTCTGTAGCTAGATAAGATCAGCCTAATTTAAGATCATTTATAAACACAGAGGAAAATAATTTTGCTACACAGTTTAAACACCCATAAATTTCAAATCAGTTTTTGAGCATGTCCTGATTTTAACTAAGAGAGAGCTGATTTTCTTCATAGTGTCTGGTACAACGCTATGTTTTGGCTTTAGGAGAAAAGCTAAAAACTAAAACTAACAATGTGTTGATAACACATTGATGTTTTAGTTATTGCTAAGCGGTGCTGTAGAGAGCCAAGGGCATTTCAGTTTTTTAGCTTCTCATACTGCCCTGCCAGTGAAGGAACTGAGGGGCACAAGGAGCTGAGAGGGGACAGAACCAGGACAGCTGAACTAAGATTTTCAAAGAAACAGTTGGTGAGCAATTGCATGTGCACAACTTGTCTATATGTGTATATGTATGTATATGTAATTATTATCATTACTATTATTTCTCTCTTCCTCTTTCATCTTAGTAAATAGTTTTTAACTCAACCTATGGAGGAAAATGAGTGAAAGGCTGTGTGGTGTTCAGTGACTTGCAGGGTTAAAACACAGCAGAGTACCTTGAGCATTGAATGTTCTGTATTAAAACTGCTGCAGAATTGCAAGTTCTCAGACATTAAATAAGAAAGAAGTATACTAAAAAAGACTGTTGTTTATTACCATAAAAGGCATCATATTTTGGGATATAGACATTTCTGCAGAAATTTAAGGTGAATCTTACTCCAAATCAACTTGATTAAATTTCTAATTCTTTTTTCTCTATGGTGTAAAATCAAACAAGAAATTAATCCTTGTGTATCCTGTAAGTCATATGTTCAGTTCTACCACCCTCTCCTGTTGAAACTCACTTGGCTTCAAGAGTTACAACGATGTCCTTCTCCGAAATGAAACCAAGGTTCTAGGCATATGCTCTTCTTTACCCTGGCAATTTTGGATATCTTAATCAAGATCTTGATTAAAAAAGGAAGCCACTTGTTTTGTGGGAGTAGATGTTTAGATGATGATAAATATCTTCCCAGTATATATACCCAGAAAAGATATACACAGGAACAGGAACAGCTTTATTCTGGTCAGAATGATTAGTGATTAGTCATTCTCCAAGACAAGGAGAACTGTTCATACTCATCATGCCTATATACAAGCAAACTACCCTTATATCAGTGGTTTGAGAAAGGGTCCATTACATGAGTTAATCTCATTTCTTTATCTAGAAGGATATGAAAAAGACTTCTATTTTTTAACTTTTCCTTGAGAACCTCTTTAAGCTAAACAGTGTTTTTGAAAGACAGTAAACATCTTCTAAAAGAGATAGAGGAGGAGACATCCATGTTTGTTCATCCAGTCTCTAGACTCTTCATAGTGTCAGACATGCCCTGACTAGAACATAGATGAGGTCACAAGAAAGTCCTCTGTGTTGATGTGTCTGAAGACAAACATAAAAGATGTAGAAAAAAAAAGTACATTAGAACAATAATTAAAAGTTTCTCTCAGCTGATCCTCCCTCCAGATGGAACTGATTCCACTAATCGCATGCACTGTCTCTCTGTTCCTATGGCTGTGCTCCTCAAGGACAACTTGTTCTCAGCTCCCTTTTGCTGCACTTATATTCTAAGGCAGAGATTACAGTTATGTACATAAGATCTTGCACACCATTTAGAGAAAGATGCAGTTTTCTGATGGCAGGCACGGAAGGATCTCTGTTTCCGTAGCAGGTGAATTTAGCTGTGATAGTATCTGTCCTAATGCTCCCCTTTGCCTTTCACCACAGTGCTGTTAGATATTACAGCCATCATATCTGTAGGCACTTTAACCATCTGATTTGGTCAGAAATCCAACATCAGTTTACAGTCTCAGCGTTTTCTGACACACATCTCTGAACAGACATTTTGCATAACACCTGCCATACTGGGCTGTTATTACCCAGTACAGTTCTTCTTAGACTACTTAGAGTAGCAGTGTGCCATTGCTTAAATGACAACAAAAGCTATTTATTAATTCATTACCTTCGAGCTCAACATTCTTCAGTTCTCCTTTTTCCCTTGGACTACACATAGGGTTTTTCTTTCACTTAAAAAAGAATGACCTGTATGAACACATGCAAGGAAAACCTTTCACTCAGAAATGTTAAGAGGAAGAAATACCTTAAGTGAGATCAAATTTTTTTTCCGTACAATCAACACTTCAACGTTATGAAAATCTTTCTTTTTTTCTGTTATCTTTCCCAAGTAAATTGTATAAATATTATCATTTTCCCATATGAAGCACTAATGGTTAATTAAAAAATATTTAATTAAGAAAATAATTAAAATTGTTATACTATAATCTAGCTAACTATATCATACTGAGAAAATATATCTTAAACGTACAAAATGATACAACATAGTCATAAAAGAAAAGAAAAAAATAAGCCTATCACCAAGGATTAGTCATTTTTTGGTGGTGGATTTCAGGTGGAGGAATGAAAAAAGTTAATGTTCTCAGTAAACAAGTTTCCTTCCCTTGCCATTACCCATTAAATATAGATAATTAAAAACTGACATTGAATGGACCATGAATTTACTCGGAGTTTCCTTTAACATTTATATTATTTTTTGAATAACACTTGGAAAGAGATCTTCAACCCTTTCTATCTGAACTTCATTACACAATTTCTACCCACTTCTCTTACGAGATGCAAAGCTGATATGTCATATTATACAGCGGGGCTTTGAGCATGTTTAGAAGGGAAGTAGAGGAGCACAGCCAGTGAGGGAGTTTAGGAAAGCTGACTTTAAAGCTAATTCATTCAAGTGCTAGTTCAGTAGATTTTGTAATTGTTCTTCATTTCAGATACTACAAATATTTGCGTATCACTGCATATGTATGAATGTCACATCAGAAATTAAACATGTATGATCTGATTTGACCTTCTGTAAAACAAAAGCCACTGAACTTTTCCTTCGCTGAGCACACAGAATCCTTACATTGCAAATCGTACCCCCCACACAAAATGCAAACATGAGCATAGCTCCTTGGAAATATTGTCAAGTATTGCTTTAATCTCTGTACAGAACAGGGATATAAGCTAAACCCTTATTCTTTCATTATAGATACATCACTGTCTAGCGAGTTGAAGAAAAATCCTTTTCATCTCAATGATTACTATTTCTTCCTTCTTGATGCTCTGCGTGATGATGCAACCGTGATGAAATGAACTAGATTTTAAGCTTTGGACTAAGATTCTGTATACCTTGGATACTGCATAGTGTCCTAACTGTATCGGAATGTCTTCACAAGCTGAAATCTAAAATTATACTCTAGTTGTTTTGGTAATGAATGCAGCAAGCACTAGATTTGTTAAACCAAGAACAGAATATACATCATTGACTTTCTGTCAGGATACCTTGCACAGTTCCAAGCTAGACTGTTAGGACTCTCCTGAACTAGATTATATCAGACCCTATATCAGATATAGGGAGCAAGCAAATTATAGTGAAGTCTTGAGAAACTTCCTAAAATTTGTATGTTCGTTTTATTTTACCCAGAAGACTCACTGTAAGAACACACCAAAATCGTCATCAAAACAGTTTTCTAGTGTTTCTTTAGATTAACTGATCTTATGCAAAGGAAAATTTTCACTGCCTCAGGCTACATCAAATGCTATCTTTCACAGCAAGGAAACTCATTTATTCAAATGAGAAGAGCAACCAAACTCAGAAGTTATTAAAAAATTAAAATATCGTAAAAGTTTTTTTTGAACACAGCAATCACATATATATTTTCATGCATTAGCTATACGTACATTTATATACCTGACATACATGTATATACCTGCTTTGATCTATGATTTTTTTTTTAAATTTACTCCTTTTATTTTTCAGGCTTACAAAATGTTGAGATTTTCCTGTCAGTGAACTTAAGAAGAACCTAATGCTCATACTTTTTTGAAGAATAAGGATGAATCTTGGAGAAGTGTAGCGTAAATGCTAAGTCATGTCCTGAAAAAGTGATTGAGCACCTGGTGGGAAGGCATAGCCAACGCAGAGAAGCTCATGTGCATGCAATGCATGTGAGTGATTGGAAGGGATGGAGCCAGGAGCCATCCCCTCCCAGTGCTTATTTAAGGGTTGGCAGTGGTGGCATAAGTATCTTGTTGGATATCCCTGCTTCTTGGAGGCTTTCCAAAGGTAAGCAAATTTTCTTCTCTTGTTTTTGCATCTGAAGCTGCTGTGTTTGGGCTTGTCCTCATCTGCTGTGGCTTAGAACTCTGCTATTATTTCTCTTCTTTCCACTGCGTTATAGCATTACAGACAAGGAACTGACAAAGTATCTAAGGAGTATCTTTGGTTTTTTTTTTATTCTTCTTCTTATGAATGCTTTCGGTTGTGTAGATATGATCTGAAATGTGTTTCAAAAAAATACATGGGAAATAGACAATTTAAATATTTATTGTACTCTTTTTGTTGCTGATCAGACTGAAATCTTGAAATAGTAAATAACTATGGAATTTTCAATGTATGCTTGAGATTCTACTTTCCTTCTTTGTTGGAAGTTATTTTACATCTTGTACGAGTCCTTTGCTTTCTAGCTCAAAGGTTGCTTTCTGAGCTATTTCTTGTGATGAGACTCTAGGAGGTCAGAGATGGGTGTTGCTGTGTGGCAATAAACATCACTGTGTGGACAATTTTACATTTGAAAGCACATATTTGGAGCTGTTTACCTTTGGAAGATAGTGCTCAGGACTGTTTATTGGTGGAAGATCTAGCCTGTGACTAAACAATTCCAGCTTGCTATGGGAGACTGGAGGATGATGCCATTGTATCTTGTGAAGGTAAGATACAAGTTGGCATCTCCCTGCTCCCTCTTATCTGCTGGTAAGGCTAGGAGGATAGGAACAAAGGAGTTTCCGCTGAGATCCCAAAGTCAGAATCTGCCACTCCAAGGAGAGCTGACTCAACCACTTTAGAACCACTGAAAAGGGGCCATCATCACTGTGGTCAACATTGTTCTCAACAGAACACCCATCACTGCTGAAGATCAAAGACTGAACTACTAACCACGCTGGATCCATGGTGGTGACTATGTCCCTCTTGCTGCCTGCAGAGACTCTTTGCTTCTTTTTTCCTATTTTTTCTATCACCCTCCTTCCCTTCCCCATTACCCTAATTCATAATAGCGTGCATCCTCCCCTTCCCTATCTCCTAATTAAGATTTGTAATAAACTAGTCAGACCAACATTTGAACCGCTCTTTCTTAATCTCACACCAGGTATACAGATATTAAAATAACCTCCTCTCCATCCTATAAATTGGAGTGAGACACATCTCACTGAAGTTTGTTAATGGTTTATCACAAAAGACACAGACCATCACAGATTGGAAAGAACCTCAAAAGATCATCCAGACTGGTTCCCCCTCCTGGAACAGGAACAGCTAGATTATGTCACATAGGAATGCATCCAGGCAGGTTTTGAATATCTCTGGAGAAAGAGACCTCACAACCTCTCTGAGTAGCCTGTTCCAGTGTTCTGTTACTCTCACTGTGAATAAGTTTTTTTTTTTTCTTGTGTTTATGTGGAACCTCTTGTGTTCCAGCTTGCACTCATTGCCCCTTGTTCCATCACTGGATGTCGCTGAGGAGAACCTGGCTTCATCCTCCCAACACAATCAGTAAGCTCACCCCTCAGTCTCCTCTTTCCCAATGTTAAAGAGACCCATCTCTCTCCCCCTTTCCACATAAGAGAGATGCTTCACTCCTTTCATCATCTTTGTGGCTCTAGACTCTCCCTGTCCTTGAGGTGACAGATCCAGAACTGGACACAGTATTCCAGATGTGGTCTCACCAGTGCAGAATAGAGGGGCTGGATTGTCTTAGTTGACCTGCTGACCATGGTGGGTTTTGTTGTTGTTGTTTTTTCACTTAATGTAGCCCAGGATGCAGTTGGCTTTCTGGGCTCTGAGGGCAAAACTCACTATGGAGGTGATGAAAGGTTGCAGGATTTAATTCTTTCACAGCCTGGGGACATCTTTGGCACAGACAAGAGGAGGAAAAAAATAGTTCAGGAAGAAATTTGTCTGGATAAGCACTGGATTAAAAAGTAAGGGATTCATGGTATACTTGGACTTGAATCAAAGAATCTTTCAGACATCTATGTCGGTCATACAAAAAATAATGCCACCTATTTATTTCCATAGAGAATGCAACAGATACAAATAACTCTCTTTGACAGGGCAAATTTTCAGCTACAAAGCAATGTTTTTCAATGTAGCCACTACCATTAGTGTCATCATTGCTGAAACACATCACCCACAGCCTCAGTGTGTGCATCTGTTATTTGATCTTCAGAAACATTCAGCAAGCATCAATGTTAATTCATTTTTTCTGTATGGAGAAATTGAACTCCGCACCCTTGTTTCATATGTACTTTTGTGTCTGATTCTGTTGTGTAAGACTGTCCCTCTTTTGCCACCTGTCATGTGGTATATGATGAAAGAAGGCATATACAGTGTTTTCTCACGGGGTACAAGAACTACAAAGCAATAGTGAATAACAATAAAAAAATATTAACTCTCCATTTCCAATGACCAGTGAAGGTTCAAGAGTAGTGCAATCTCTACCCAGCAAGACATTCCTTTCTTGAAAAATAGAGCAGGAAGATTGTGATTTTTATTGTAAACTCCCTTAAAATTTGTTATAATTTAGTGGGCAACACCAATGGTTTTTTTTTTTTTTTTTTTTTTTTTTTTAAGTCAAAAGATGCAGAAAATCATCTCCACTTTATAAAGAATGCATGGTTATAATAACTAAGGCTAGGGCTTTTTTCCAAGTGAAACACTCTCAGAAAGCTGACAGTTGGAATAGAGTAGGGTGAGGATTGAACAAACTATTGAGAGAGAAGTGCTTGCTGACAGGTTGATGAGAGTACATGTAGCCTTTTCCTTATCAGGGGACGGGTTAGGCACTATTCCACTGCAGCTGACAAGACTTTGGGGTACTAAGCAGCTATCCTTTCATAGCTTTCACAGTGATGAATGAGGTATTAGAAGATGCCATGCAGAGAACAGGAGAGAGAGAAGCACAAAGGAGGAGATTTCTTGTATATGATTTCTCATGTTATCTGATGATAACAAGATATTAGGAATAAAGCATATAAATGCATAAACTCAAAATGTTTTTCCAAATGTTTAATAATAAATGGGGAAAAATAATGAAATATTTTGGCATTGCATCAGCCTCTTTAACAGCTAAAATGAAATCTTTATAAAAAGAATTGTTTCTTTTTAAGGGGAAAAAAATGGAAAAAATTGATAAAATCCACGAACTTTGGGAAAATTGAGATGTTTATTCTGTGTATAGACCTGCTCCACAATAATGAAAAGTTGCAATTTCTCTGCACTTTAAATAGGAAATGATCAATAACATTTGATGTGAAATGACTGCTGTAGTCTGTTCATATTTGTGTATGAGGTGTAGTTCAATGACATTCACTATTTCCATCACCTCCCATGGATGCTGCCTGGCACTGTGGTAGAGATTTGGTGATCTGTGCTCATTTTTATCGCATGGCTTTTTCAAATCGTTGCTGGTATGTCAGCTATATTCAGTCAATGAAATTCAGCAGTAATTTTGAGATGAACAAAATTTCCATCTTTGAATCTATTTATGGAGATAGTCTATAGTCATTCTCCCTAATTCTCCAGTGATTTTCTATGCAAATACTGCCAGGCTCACTCAAAGCTATGGGATTTAGTTACTCACTTGACTGAAAAGCATGTCAATGCAAATTCAGGCAGATAAAGCAGCAATGCAAATCTCCAGGGCTTCAGCAAGTTATAATTCAGCCACAGTATTAACAAAACAAGATAGAAATTATGCAAGGAATCAGCTGAAAGGTTATTTCTGATTTTGAATTTCTGTCTCTATACAACTGGGTGCTGGAACTTAAAAGCATCATGAGGCATTCTTCCCCATCAGCCAGGCCCTCAGAAAACAGGCAACACACTACACTGTTCGTTATTCTGTGTATGTTTCACAGTAAATTTATCAGTGTTAGCCCTGAAAGCAAAGGGATTTATAGTGTGGTAGAATGTTCATTTTAATATTAGAATATCAAATGCTTTGGGCTCTGCAAAGTAGTTCTGACTGTAAAAATGCAGGGCTGTGTGCGAATTTGAGGACACTGAAAGGGCTGTGCTGGTAGCCACCAGCCTTCACTTCCAGGTCTGCCTTATTTTGTGTTCAGACCTTCATCATGAATTCAGATCAGATGAGAGCTCAACATTACTGTTCTCTCTTGCCTAGCTACTTATCTAATAATCTTGGAGATGCCTTCCAGTGTCTGGAAAGACCTGGAGAGTGCTTAATAAAGTGCAGTGTGATCACTTTTGTACTTAAATCGTAGAAAATTTCAAGTTACACTTAAGTTCCTAGTGGAAATGCTGCCAAAGTAAACTCTCAGCTAATCTGTTCTTAATTCTGTCTCTTTCACATCAGCTTGCCTATCACCACTGGAGATAACTTGAGCAATTTCCCAAGCCAAACCTTGACTTCCATCAGAAAAATCTGTGTGTCACCTTAGCCATATCAGTCAGTTCGCATCAATCTCTAATGGGCCTAAGGCATCTAAGATGACACTTCCATGACAATAGGTGGGTAATTGAATTTAAAACTTTATGTTTAAAAGAGCAACTTGTTTAACAACTCCACCACCACTCAGAGAGCCCTGCAACACGGCAGCTCATGAAAAATCTGATGGTTGATATTAGTCTAAGAAGGAAAAATAGAGTTGATGACTCAATATTCGGATGGGGAGAATCACTGTACAGAAAGTCTGTGTGAATCTCCATGTTGATGATTGCGCAATTTAATTACTCTAAATATGCCTAAATCCAGAGGCAGGCATTTCAAATTACATCAAAATAAATGAATTAATATCAGTAGTAATGTTAATTACTTCTGCTAGATGCAGAAACTGGCAAAACATATTGGTATAATATGTGTGCTTGAACAATATGCTTTTAAATCTCTAAATGGAATGAAAATTGACTTTCAAATGACAAAGCATGGATTCAAAGTAATTTCATGAGTTTGTCACAGTGAATGAGGAGGAGTAGGAGCAGAATAAGAAGTGAATAGGTACTTTTCATTCTTGGCTTCAGCTTCTCACAGATAGCTCAACAGAAACAGT